CATACACACAACAAAAACACCCCAAAAGCTAGTCCAAGCCAATCCTAGCCTACAAGACTAAGCACCCAATTTGTAACTTACATTTAAATATCTTGACTTCTTTACTCAGGTTTTCTCAGAACCTTTAATTTGTTAATCTTCCTGACTAATATCCAAAAAAAGGGGTTTCAGCATTGATTCACCTGTCTTAGGACAATATTCCAAGAAGCATAGTTCAGAAAACTCTACCGTAGAGAGTTTTCCTTTAATGTAGGATCACCTAATAAACTCAAGACTCCCCCATACTACGTCCCTTTTGTTCTACTATTCACTGAGCTGTTTATAAAGAATTGAAAAAGTTTCATTCACTATGACACAGTCATAGTGACAATTAAGGATGAAAATCTGCTCAAATTTGAGGCTGTAGGAGAGTAGAAGAAAATGGGAATCTGTGTACTTCAAAGATGGAAATTCAGGAGGCAATGGAGTGTTACTGTGCTCTGACAGCTTTAACAAAAGCTAACCAGCAGGGAGTAGGCTGGCATAAATCTTGGAATAAAGTTCAGTATTGACCAAAATAGCATCCCTGGAAACAGAGTGAGCAGGTGTGCCCCACAGATTTACCACAAAACAAAACACTTAAAAAATAACTCAGAAAATTTTGAAAAGTAAATGACATTCTGTATTAATCTCAAATTCTTCTTAGTTCCCATTCTGCTATGTATTTTTTGTAACACCTGGTGTTTTTGACCCTTAGAATGTGTTTTTTCTTAGCTTTCAATAAAGAGTTTTAAATAGTGTTCAGTCATATTGTGGGTGATACAAACTTTTACTTGGAACTGTACTTTGAAATGTTAACAAAACCATAACAATTTATTTTAATAATATGCTTTGAAAATTGAAAAAGTGACTGTACTTTTATCATCTATTTTCAAATTTAAACAGTTACTGAATATCTTTTATATCTTCACTGACATTAGGACATACTAATGTCTTCAAAATACACCCTGGAAAAGTTTAAGAATTATTTTAAACAACTGTGGCTCACCTTTAGAACTCTTCTTCATTTACTCAGATTCTCAGATTACTCACAAAATCTCTCCTTTTTCTATATAAAATAAAACTGTTGGTTATCTGCCTTCTACTGCCTTTTCAAAAACTGTGTTCATTTTATTTAATTTTATTGAAACAAAAAATAAAGATACAAATTTTCCTCTGAATTCAGCCTTGACCAATTTCACTCATTTCTAAATACTCTGCAATTACAGGGGTTTTTTTATTCTTGTAAACTTTATTTTTTATTCCTGCATGTTTGCAAGACACAATGCTTACATTCTTTGGGTGAGATTCATATACATACACAGCACCTCTGACTTCTTTTCTTTCAGTCTCTTTCCCTCTGTCTCCGACCTCCTTCCATCACTTGATCGCTTTACCATGCAAGGAAGATCTTTCTCCTTACATTATGTATCTTTTTTGGCTCTTCATGTATAATATAGTTTCTCCTACAAGAGAACATGTAATACTTAAGCTTGTGTATCTGCTTCACTTAACATTATGGTTTCAAGGGGCATCCACTTTCCTACAAATGACTCAAGTTTGTAATTATAGTTTAGATTTTTCTCTTTGAGTTTTTATGTTTTGTGTGTATGCATAAATAAGCCATGGCACTTGCTAACCAGAAAATATGGACTCTAAAATTTCTGCTTTGAGGTTTTAATTGGCTTTATATTTCATGCTATAGATTGTGATTAATATCAATAAATGCTCAGGGAAAGTTACGGGGAAGTCATGCCTGCAGTTCAATATGTATCAATTGAGTGAATCCTTAAATTTTTCAGGTTTTCTGTTTTCTGAATTATTTCTGCTCATGCGCTCTGTCATAGACAAAGAAGTCAAAAGCAAACAATAGTGCTGCTGAAGCAAAAGTCACTTGGCAGCAGCCACCAGTCACTTCCTTGGTTCCAGCTGAGGAAGGGGAAATTGCAGCCAGGGCTCTCCACAGCAGCCTCCCCTTCCACATAGGATACTACCCTCTAGGATATAAGCATACTCTTAGACTTCCTGAAAAAAACTATAAAAGAACCATTTTTAAGTTAAGTTCCAAAGATATTCTTGGAAAACTTCAGTATTGAGTGCAGACATTTTGGGTCAGAAGTATGAACAAAAAGAAAATTTTCCATGACATCCACAGTCACTTTTGTGAAGTATTAAGGATTGTTCTAAGAAACTCAGAAGGCTTTATGAGGTTCTAATTATGAAGTATTCTATTTATTTTCTTTCTTTCATGTTAGGTGATTAAGAAATGAGATACTGAGATATATGAGTGGAATAAAAATTCTAGAAGCACACAGCCAAAACATATCTCTGAAGTAGATTTGGGGCATTCTTACCCTGATAAGAACATTTGCTGTGCCATAAGAATATACTTACTGTTCACAACAATCCTAAGAATTGAATCTTACTGTTCTCATTTTATAGATGGATGACCCTTTTTTAGAGAAGGGTCTACAGGGTGTTCAGGACTACTAGATCAGACTCATAGTGACCTATCTGTATACAGCCTCCCAAGAGCTGGGATTAGAGACGCATGCCACCACGCCCAGTCTCAATTGCTGTCTCAGTGACATTGAAGAAATAATGTTAAGTGAAGCAGATACACAAACTTAAGTATTACATATTTTCTTGTAAGAGAAACCATATTATACATGAAGAGCAAAAAAAGATACATAATATAAGAAGAAAGATCTTCCTTGAGTGGTAAAGGGATCAAGTGGTGGAGGGAGGTGGGAGACAGAGGAGGGAAAGAGACTAAAAGAAAAGAAGTCAGAAGTGTTGTGTATGTGGGGGCTGGGGAGATGGCACAGTGGAATAAGTGCTTCCCTGGCAAGCACAAAGGAAGTTTAATCTCTGGTTTTGCCAAAAAAAAAAAACTGAAGAAGATGAAGAAGAAGTGTTGTGTATGTATATCAATCCCACCCAAAGAATGTAAGCATTGTGTCTCACAAACATGCAGGAATGAAAAATAAAGTTGATAAGATTTTTTTTTAATTCTGTAATTTCAGAGTTTTTTTTTTTTTTTCAAATCAAATTGGTAGGACAGTTTCAAAAATTCACACATTGCATACATTCTTCCTAGTAGTTAACTGCTGTACAAGATGCAGACATGATATCCTATTTAAAACACCATTAGAACAAATCGTTCTATTCATTAAGAGAATGTAACTATATATCTATCCCAACCACAAGTGCATTCAAGGCAGAGTTATTTAGAAATGAGTGAAAATGAAAGTGGGCAGGGCCAGCACGGCAGGCCCAGGGATCGAACCCCCAGCCCCTGTGCCTGCTTACAGGCACTTTAATCCACTGAGTTATTTGGCCAGTCCTAGATGGGGGAACTCAAAGCTTAGGTCACTTCTAAGGAAAGTCACCTAGAGAGAAAACATTCTCTCAGGCTTTCAGAAAGAGCAAATTGGTCAAGCAATGGCCATGACTTATCCACACAGCTGACACTGACAAAGGATCTACAAACTGGGGAACAGGGTTTCAGGCTAAATCCTGAGGGGATTTGACTGACCTTGGCAGACTCAAAAGTTACATTTCTTGTTATATAGGTTTTGCTTTAGTTTGGTCTTAACCATCCAGCCAAAAAGTATAAAAACGAAGTATAAAAAGTAAAGCCATATTAATATGCTGAGCTGTAAAAGGCTCAACTCAACAACTTCTGACATTGCCAGTCACATGGATAACCCACTACTATTATATAGACTACTGGACTATATTGGATTATTTTGCTGAATTCATGCACCTACAATATTTAAATGGCAGTGGGATACCCATCTCTGTCCAAAATAAGGGGGTTACAAATGAAGGACCTATTTGTATCTGTATATTCAAAATAGGATAGATATACATTTACTTTCTCTTAATTCAATGAGAAGAAAGTTTTGTACTGATAGTATTTGGACAGGATATCATGTCTGCATCATTTACTATGAAAAACTACTATGAAGACAACAATATGCAATGCATCAGTTATTGAAACTGTCCCCAGCTTTGAAACTGTCTCATTGCTGTTTGTTTCTCAATAAAAGTAATTTTAAAAAAAGAAAAAAGGAAAAAAAAAGCTTAGGTCATTTGCCCTAGGTCACATAACTGATAAAAGGCAGAATGAGGTTTTGAACCTATAACAAGTGTTATGTTCCTACATAAACTGTTGCAATTATTTTCATGACATAAAAATACTTTTGACATAATGGATTTCTAGATGGTTGAGATAAAAGCACATAGTGCTTTTGAGAGGTTGCAAGGAGTGGCATTCACATTACACTTGTGGATCCTCCAAAATGCATGAGACACAGCCTCAGCTTAGCAAACTCAGAGATCTGATGTGTCAGCGCACCAAGGCAAACTCAATCTCTCAGACTAGGATTCATACTCTACAACCCCAGAGCAGTCACATAAACACAGAATGATAATTTATGAATTGATGTCAACAAGTCAATAAGCAAAATTTACTTTCATGACATAGTTGCCCTCCCTGAGACCAAATACATGAAAGGTGCCCTATAGTTGGAATATTAACAATG